ATAAGGGCAGATCCATGGAGTATAAGGGCAGATCCATGGAGTATAAGGGCAGATCCATGGAGTATAAGGGCAGATCCATGGAGTATAAGGGCAGATCCATGGAGTATAAGGGCAGATCCATGGAGTATAAGGGCAGATCCATGGAGTATAAGGGCAGATCCATGGAGTATAAGGGCAGATCCATGGAGTATAAGGGCAGATCCATGGAGTATAAGGGCAGATCCATGGAGTATAAGGGCAGATCCATGGAGTATAAGGGCAGATCCATGGAGTATAAGGGCAGATCCATGGAGTATAAGGGCAGATCCATGGAGTATAAGGGCAGATCCATGGAGTATAAGGGCAGATCCATGGAGTATAAGGGCAGATCCATGGAGTATAAGGGCAGATCCATGGAGTATAAGGGCAGATCCATGGAGTATAAGGGCAGATCCATGGAGTATAAGGGCAGATCCATGGAGTATAAGGGCAGATCCATGGAGTATAAGGGCAGATCCATGGAGTATAAGGGCAGATCCATGGAGTATAAGGGCAGATCCATGGAGTATAAGGGCAGATCCATGGAGTATAAGGGCAGATCCATGGAGTATAAGGGCAGATCCATGGAGTATAAGGGCAGATCCATGGAGTATAAGGGCAGATCCATGGAGTATAAGGGCAGATCCATGGAGTATAAGGGCAGATCCATGGAGTATAAGGGCAGATCCATGGAGTATAAGGGCAGATCCATGGAGTATAAGGGCAGATCCATGGAGTATAAGGGCAGATCCATGGAGTATAAGGGCAGATCCATGGAGTATAAGGGCAGATCCATGGAGTATAAGGGCAGATCCATGGAGTATAAGGGCAGATCCATGGAGTATAAGGGCAGATCCATGGAGTATAAGGGCAGATCCATGGAGTATAAGGGCAGATCCATGGAGTATAAGGGCAGATCCATGGAGTATAAGGGCAGATCCATGGAGTATAAGGGCAGATCCATGGAGTATAAGGGCAGATCCATGGAGTATAAGGGCAGATCCATGGAGTATAAGGGCAGATCCATGGAGTATAAGGGCAGATCCATGGAGTATAAGGGCAGATCCATGGAGTATAAGGGCAGATCCATGGAGTATAAGGGCAGATCCATGGAGTATAAGGGCAGATCCATGGAGTATAAGGGCAGATCCATGGAGTATAAGGGCAGATCCATGGAGTATAAGGGCAGATCCATGGAGTATAAGGGCAGATCCATGGAGTATAAGGGCAGATCCATGGAGTATAAGGGCAGATCCATGGAGTATAAGGGCAGATCCATGGAGTATAAGGGCAGATCCATGGAGTATAAGGGCAGATCCATGGAGTATAAGGGCAGATCCATGGAGTATAAGGGCAGATCCATGGAGTATAAGGGCAGATCCATGGAGTATAAGGGCAGATCCATGGAGTATAAGGGCAGATCCATGGAGTATAAGGGCAGATCCATGGAGTATAAGGGCAGATCCATGGAGTATAAGGGCAGATCCATGGAGTATAAGGGCAGATCCATGGAGTATAAGGGCAGATCCATGGAGTATAAGGGCAGATCCATGGAGTATAAGGGCAGATCCATGGAGTATAAGGGCAGATCCATGGAGTATAAGGGCAGATCCATGGAGTATAAGGGCAGATCCATGGAGTATAAGGGCAGATCCATGGAGTATAAGGGCAGATCCATGGAGTATAAGGGCAGATCCATGGAGTATAAGGGCAGATCCATGGAGTATAAGGGCAGATCCATGGAGTATAAGGGCAGATCCATGGAGTATAAGGGCAGATCCATGGAGTATAAGGGCAGATCCATGGAGTATAAGGGCAGATCCATGGAGTATAAGGGCAGATCCATGGAGTATAAGGGCAGATCCATGGAGTATAAGGGCAGATCCATGGAGTATAAGGGCAGATCCATGGAGTATAAGGGCAGATCCATGGAGTATAAGGGCAGATCCATGGAGTATAAGGGCAGATCCATGGAGTATAAGGGCAGATCCATGGAGTATAAGGGCAGATCCATGGAGTATAAGGGCAGATCCATGGAGTATAAGGGCAGATCCATGGAGTATAAGGGCAGATCCATGGAGTATAAGGGCAGATCCATGGAGTATAAGGGCAGATCCATGGAGTATAAGGGCAGATCCATGGAGTATAAGGGCAGATCCATGGAGTATAAGGGCAGATCCATGGAGTATAAGGGCAGATCCATGGAGTATAAGGGCAGATCCATGGAGTATAAGGGCAGATCCATGGAGTATAAGGGCAGATCCATGGAGTATAAGGGCAGATCCATGGAGTATAAGGGCAGATCCATGGAGTATAAGGGCAGATCCATGGAGTATAAGGGCAGATCCATGGAGTATAAGGGCAGATCCATGGAGTATAAGGGCAGATCCATGGAGTATAAGGGCAGATCCATGGAGTATAAGGGCAGATCCATGGAGTATAAGGGCAGATCCATGGAGTATAAGGCAGATCCATGGAGTATAAGGGCAGATCCATGGAGTATAAGGGCAGATCCATGGAGTATAAGGGCAGATCCATGGAGTATAAGGGCAGATCCATGGAGTATAAGGGCAGATCCATGGAGTATAAGGGCAGATCCATGGAGTATAAGGGCAGATCCATGGAGTATAAGGGCAGATCCATGGAGTATAAGGGCAGATCCATGGAGTATAAGGGCAGATCCATGGAGTATAAGGGCAGATCCATGGAGTATAAGGGCAGATCCATGGAGTATAAGGGCAGATCCATGGAGTATAAGGGCAGATCCATGGAGTATAAGGGCAGATCCATGGAGTATAAGGGCAGATCCATGGAGTATAAGGGCAGATCCATGGAGTATAAGGGCAGATCCATGGAGTATAAGGGCAGATCCATGGAGTATAAGGGCAGATCCATGGAGTATAAGGGCAGATCCATGGAGTATAAGGGCAGATCCATGGAGTATAAGGGCAGATCCATGGAGTATAAGGGCAGATCCATGGAGTATAAGGGCAGATCCATGGAGTATAAGGGCAGATCCATGGAGTATAAGGGCAGATCCATGGAGTATAAGGGCAGATCCATGGAGTATAAGGGCAGATCCATGGAGTATAAGGGCAGATCCATGGAGTATAAGGGCAGATCCATGGAGTATAAGGGCAGATCCATGGAGTATAAGGGCAGATCCATGGAGTATAAGGGCAGATCCATGGAGTATAAGGGCAGATCCATGGAGTATAAGGGCAGATCCATGGAGTATAAGGGCAGATCCATGGAGTATAAGGGCAGATCCATGGAGTATAAGGGCAGATCCATGGAGTATAAGGGCAGATCCATGGAGTATAAGGGCAGATCCATGGAGTATAAGGGCAGATCCATGGAGTATAAGGGCAGATCCATGGAGTATAAGGGCAGATCCATGGAGTATAAGGGCAGATCCATGGAGTATAAGGGCAGATCCATGGAGTATAAGGGCAGATCCATGGAGTATAAGGGCAGATCCATGGAGTATAAGGGCAGATCCATGGAGTATAAGGGCAGATCCATGGAGTATAAGGGCAGATCCATGGAGTATAAGGGCAGATCCATGGAGTATAAGGGCAGATCCATGGAGTATAAGGGCAGATCCATGGAGTATAAGGGCAGATCCATGGAGTATAAGGGCAGATCCATGGAGTATAAGGGCAGATCCATGGAGTATAAGGGCAGATCCATGGAGTATAAGGGCAGATCCATGGAGTATAAGGGCAGATCCATGGAGTATAAGGGCAGATCCATGGAGTATAAGGGCAGATCCATGGAGTATAAGGGCAGATCCATGGAGTATAAGGGCAGATCCATGGAGTATAAGGGCAGATCCATGGAGTATAAGGGCAGATCCATGGAGTATAAGGGCAGATCCATGGAGTATAAGGGCAGATCCATGGAGTATAAGGGCAGATCCATGGAGTATAAGGGCAGATCCATGGAGTATAAGGGCAGATCCATGGAGTATAAGGGCAGATCCATGGAGTATAAGGGCAGATCCATGGAGTATAAGGGCAGATCCATGGAGTATAAGGGCAGATCCATGGAGTATAAGGGCAGATCCATGGAGTATAAGGGCAGATCCATGGAGTATAAGGGCAGATCCATGGAGTATAAGGGCAGATCCATGGAGTATAAGGGCAGATCCATGGAGTATAAGGGCAGATCCATGGAGTATAAGGGCAGATCCATGGAGTATAAGGGCAGATCCATGGAGTATAAGGGCAGATCCATGGAGTATAAGGGCAGATCCATGGAGTATAAGGGCAGATCCATGGAGTATAAGGGCAGATCCATGGAGTATAAGGGCAGATCCATGGAGTATAAGGGCAGATCCATGGAGTATAAGGGCAGATCCATGGAGTATAAGGGCAGATCCATGGAGTATAAGGGCAGATCCATGGAGTATAAGGGCAGATCCATGGAGTATAAGGGCAGATCCATGGAGTATAAGGGCAGATCCATGGAGTATAAGGGCAGATCCATGGAGTATAAGGGCAGATCCATGGAGTATAAGGGCAGATCCATGGAGTATAAGGGCAGATCCATGGAGTATAAGGGCAGATCCATGGAGTATAAGGGCAGATCCATGGAGTATAAGGGCAGATCCATGGAGTATAAGGGCAGATCCATGGAGTATAAGGGCAGATCCATGGAGTATAAGGGCAGATCCATGGAGTATAAGGGCAGATCCATGGAGTATAAGGGCAGATCCATGGAGTATAAGGGCAGATCCATGGAGTATAAGGGCAGATCCATGGAGTATAAGGGCAGATCCATGGAGTATAAGGGCAGATCAAAGGAGTATAAGGGCAGATCAAAGGAGTATAAGGGCAGATCAAAGGAGTATGAGGGCAGATCAAAGGAATATAAGGGCAGATCAAAGGAGTAAAACGACAGCTCACCTGTTGCCCTGCAGCTGTAACCAGCTACAGCCTAAAGCTACCTAGTAGCTACAGCTACGGCTACATCCTCACCTGTCGCCCTGCAGCTGTAGCATGCAGCTGTAGCCAGGCAGGGAGGAGGGCTTGCAGGCCAGCCGGGACCTGTAGAGTGCTACAGCCGCCTTGCTGGAGGCGTCAGCATCTGTAGCACAGGAGTAGTCCACACGGAGTGATCCCCTGTGGGTACAAGGGTGTGGGAGGGGGGTTAAAACCAGGGTCTCAAGTAAGAGATTCTGCCATCAACTGCAAAACATTTGAGACTGAGTTACCTTGTTTTTCTAGGCGAGGCGGACTGGTTGGCAAGGGAAGTTGGCGTGCAACACTCCCCCACTTTTGCCTCAGCACCAATTGCAAAACAAATTTCAGGTACATGAGACTTTCGACAACTCTTGACATTTCACTGGCACTCTAGCTTCGGCTCCGAACCTGTTTCCATACCTAGAAGGTTTGGAACACAGTAAACGATTTTGTTCCCTTCGCATCCCTCGCTGCACCCCTTTTCGTTTTTCCAACCTCGTCAACCAATGGGAAGCGGGGGTTTCCCATCAACTGCAAAACAAATGATCTACGTGGGACCCTGGTTTTAAATTGAAATGGTACATAATTATAGATCTGTAGAGCGCTACAGCCGCCCTGCTGGTGGTGTCAGCGGATGATCCCCTGTGAGTACAGTACAAGGCGGAAGGACAAAGAGGGGATGATGGTCCATAGGAATAGACCGAGCTACAGCCGCCCTGCTGGTGACGCCAGCGGATGTAGCACAGAATGGTCCACACCACACAGAGAATCCCCTGTGGGTATAGTACAAGGGGGAAGGACAAAAAGGGGATAAAAACGGTCTATAAGAACGGATCGCGCTACAGCCGTCCTGCTGGAAGCATCAACAGCTGTAGTGCAGGAGAAGACAGCACGGAGGGATCCCCTGTGGTGGTCAGGTCGTGGCGAGAGTTTTGAGACGTCTCAAAAAACGTCTCAAAGTCTTGAGACATCTCAAAATAGCATCAGCAGCTGTAGTGCAGGAGTAGTCAACGCGGAGGGATCCCCTGTGGTGGTCAGGTCGTGGCGAGTGGAAGGAGCTGGGGATGAGAACATGGGCATGGGCTGGCGCCCGTGGTATTCAAGGCATCGCGATGTGTTGGAAACGAATGGGGATAGGGGAAGCTAAAGTTGAAACCAAGGTTTTGGTTGGGTTTTGGTTGGGTTTTAAAAGGCTAGGAAGGGCACTCACTTGTGGCGCCCGTGGTACGCCAGCTGTCGCGATGCATTGGGAGCAAAGGCCCAGATCATGTGGTTGATGGCCTGAGGCTGCACGGGCATGAATCCATCCAGCTCCGCGCTGCGGGTGAACCTGCGATGGGAGAGGGGGGTGTAAGAACGAAGAAAGAGGGGAAGGGAGAGGAGGGGTATGAGCAAAGGCCCAGATCCCTTCTCCCCCACTCAATCACCCTCCCACCCAACCACCCACCCTCTCCTAACAGTTCAGCCCATTCCGCTTTATGACCATTCTCCCTCTCTCGCCCCTACCCATCCACCAACCCAGCCACCCACTACCCATCTGCCAAACCAGCCACCCACCCACACACCGAGACAATTGCATCTCACCTCATAATCACGCCTCCATCAGTGCCCCTCGTCCAGTTCCACTCCCTCTCGTTGTAGTTCAACCCGTTCGTCCGCTCCAAACCAGTCATCCCGTACCCCTTTCTACCTTCTTCTTTCCCACCCACACACCCTCATACCCCTGCTCACCTCATAATCACGCCTCCATCCTTGCTCCTCGTCCAATTCCACTCCCTCTCGTTGAAGTTCAGCCCGTTCGTCCGCTCCAGGCCATCCACCCCGTACCCCGTGATGTAAAACGGCAGAACCTTTTCCGCGGGTAAACCACCCGGCGGAGCCGCCGAGGGTAAATCACCCTGCGGGCCCGAAGGGGGTACTGCTGCACCCCCGATAATAGCGTCAGCAGGCACCATGTGCCCTTCAAGGGACCATCCCACGGAGATCCACCCTGCTGCGGCGGCTTCGCTGCCTGGCTTCGCCACCACGGCCATTTGCATCAGCTGCGGGGAGACGTGCATCCAATGCAGGAGGAGACTGGGGAGGGGGGTGGGGTGAGGAGGGGAGGAAAGAGAGGAACAAAGACAACTTGTGCCTTATACTCTACTCTGACTACTTCGCTTCCTGGCTTCGCCACCACGGCCATTTGCATCAGCTGAGGGGAGACGTGCATCCAATGCAGGAGGAGACTGGTGAGGGATGCCCTATACTCTGCACTGAATGCCTCGCTGCCCGGCTTCGCCACCACGGCCATTTGCATCAGCTGCGGGGAGACGTGCATCCAATGCAGGAGGAGGCTGGGGAAAGCAGGGGGGAGTGGGGGAGCGGGAGGAGGGGAAGGGAGGAGGGGAAGGGAGGAGGGGAAGGGAGGAGGGGAAGAAAGGAGGCTGAGGGAAGCGGTACGCACAGATGCGTTATCCACGACAGCTGCAAAACCCGATGGAGAGAAAGGAATATGTGCCGAAAAAAGAGAATCTATTCATGTTATTCACTAGCTCTAGTGCGCACCCCTTGCCGTTAAGGTCGACGGAGTTGTTGTATCCCGGCAACTTAGACGGCTGACAGGCAGCGACCGGCGTCAGCAACGTATCCAGTTCATCATCCGACATATTCGCTTGCTCCTCGTAAAACTCGTCATCTCCAGGCCCCAGCCAATCAGCGTTGTTCCCGCCATCCATTTCCGCGTAATCCGGCAGCGATCCCCATGGCCCCGAGCCGTCGTCGCCCGTGAAATTTCCGTCCTGGTTCAGCCATTCCCGCTTCAGCCAGTCGTCCGGGTCCGTTCCGCTTACGTCCGAAAAATCGTCCGTCGGTTCTTCCCCGCTGTCAAAATAATCCGTCGAGTTTCCGTTAGAGTAATCCGATCCGTCAAGTGACGGATTGACCGTCTGCGTGCCGTTATTCGTGAATCCCAAGTCTGCTGACGTGCCGGTAGAGTTCAAATTGCTTGCTTGTGATTGCCCAGCAGCATGGGTCGTGAGACACGCCAAGACGAGCGCGACAAGCGTCAGAACCATAGCTTTTCTAAGGTCGAAAACACGAGGCCATTGTACTTCTCCCATACCGCTAAAACGTTAACTTAACGACAGAGACCGAATTATATAAAAATCTCACGCGTGTGCGTTAACCGCTAAAAACTAGAGCATGGAATTAGAAACACGTTCAACGCGTTCTAAAAGCCCTGGAGCGCTGCTAACTTTTCGTCAGTAACGGTTCTGTCTAAAGCAGCAGTCAAAAGGACGGCTTAATCTGAACCAGCAGCATATGAGGTACCGTAAGAAAAAGTGTCATTCTGTGACGAATGCTAGCTTGGATAAATATAATGGCTTCCTCTGAAGAGAACGCTAGCCTGGAAAGAAAGAACGGCCTTCCGTGAAAGGAATGCTAGCTCGGAAAGAAAGAATGGCCTTCTGCGAAAAGAACGCTAGCTTGGTGGGAGAAAGAATTGCCATCTGTGAAAAGAATCTCTACTGGACAGAAAATGACCCTCTGCGCTGTGATGCTCGTGCATTCTGCTCTGAACCTGTACTGTACCTGAGCAATCTCCTCTGACCCGTACCCAACCGTGTTGAAACACAATGAATTCTAGTTTGACACGCTGCCCGGCAGCGAGAGCGGGGTTACAAAGTCAACGGGGAACAAGAGCAAGGTCGTGTGCAATATGGCGGGTCCGGAGTGCGTTGCTAAGTGCGCATCCGCAGTTCGGGTTTGTGGGCTAGGAGAAGATGTCCGTGGTTTAGTTAAGACATAGCATGAGCTCGAGCTAATCCCAGGAATGCAAACTAGCCTGGGTTCCTAGATTCCCTTACCACCACCGAATCTGTCGGTGCGTTTCCGGCCCAGGAACGCCTGACACACCTGTACCAGAAGTCAGGAAGGGTCGAGGCGCGGGTGAACCTCGGTACAATCAGTCCGTAAAGAACGGCTACATACGTACTCCAGCACATTCATGTTATAAATTGAGACAAATTGACTTAGGAAATTATAGCATTTAGGCTATTCGTACAACTAACCTACCATATCAATGGTGGGCAATTCATCCTTCCCATTTCGCTAACAGCAACCCAAATCAGCATTGTTGTCCTCCTGTTCAGCATTCCCCCCATGCATGCCATTCTGACTGGGCAAGTCGCAAGCAGCAGCAGGCAATGGAAATAGCTTCTGGCGACGAAGCCACAGCAGCTCTTGGTTGGGGCCCTCAAAAGGCCTTGCGGAATTTCCACATGGCACATCCACCTGAATAAGATCCTGCTGCTGGAGCATCAACAGGGTGTTGGTGTCTTGTGGGGTAAATTCCCCTCCGTGGTACACCTGCCAGCCTGAGGGAAGGGAGGAAGAGAGGAGGGATTTAACGAGTGAGCGTGGAAACGACAGGACTACTGGGACAAGTGAGATATAAAAGGTCAAGAATAAAGAATGTCATCTGTGTCAGCAGCGACTCATTTGCATCAATGGCCGTCAGCAACTGCTAGTGCAGCTCTAAGCTGCTCGACGCCACTATCACATGTGGGGTACGGGATACCAAGTGTGTGAAAGAAGACCATGTGCATGTGAGCAAGACCATGCATGTGCATGCTTGCATCAATGGCCGTCAATAGCTGCTGATGCAGCTCCAAGCTGCTCGACGCCACGGTCCCTGTATCAAACCCGTGTATGTGAGAGGAGGTCATGCATGTGAGTAAGACTATGTGTGAATGAACAGCAGCTTACTTGCATCAATGGCCGTCAGCAGCTGTTGGTGCAGCTCCAAGCTGCTCGACGCCACTATCCCTCTATCGAGCGAGCTTAAAAAACGGCCTCTAGTGAAATCCAAGGGCTTGCCGCCCGCATCCGTCACAACGCCGCCCGCCTCCTCCACAATCACCACCCCTGCAGCGTGGTCCCACACCTTCTCCTGGTAACCGTTACGCGCAAATTTCATGAAAATGTCTGCATCGCCACGGGCTATAGCAGCGTACTTTGCCATGCTGTACACGCGGAGAGGAGCGTTACTGCATGGCATAAAAGGAAAAGCATGGGGGAGCACAAGTATATTAGAAAAGACGAATAAGAATGGGCAATAGCAGAGTACTTTGCCATGCGGTACATGCAGAGAGGGGCGTTACACAAGAAAAGAGTTACTGAAAGCTATAACAGGACGGATGGTGAAAAAGAACACCAGGTGAGGGAGAGTACGGATGCGCAATAGCGCCAAGCGGTGCACACGGAGACGAGCATTACTTTTCACAATAACCAGATTTTTCCGTACCTGATGCTGCTGGCACATGGCATGTTATCATACCTAGGCGCACGGCACATACCATACCAAAGCACATGACATGTTACCATACCTAGGCACATATCATTTAACCGTACCTGATTCCGAGGAGGTCCGCCAGACCTGCCGTGAACGTCTGGTTCGAGTTCGCCTTCTCAACCGGCTCGCAGAACGTCGCGCAGCACGGCTCGCACACGTCGGACACGTGGCAGTTGGAAGTGCTCGTTGCGCGCCAACTCGGATCCAGCTTCACACGGCGACTACTGACACCGTTTCTGCCGCCACTGCTACTGCTAATCCTGCTGCTCCCGCACTCCGTTCGGCGAACGTCCGCGGCGGCTACTGCTGCGGGATCGCCTCCTACGAGCGGCTCGACGAAGGCGCCATGACCCCGGAGCGCTTTCAGCACCACTCCTTCCCGCCAATCGCAGGACGGGAAAAGTTTCGATGTGATCCGGTGAAAGCGGTGCGGATGCCGCAGCCATTCTGGCCTGACCGGAAAATTTGGGCAGCCTAAGACGCCCAGTTTCAAGCTGCCCAAATCTAGTAACGCCAGTGCGACTGCGTATTGATCGTCACGAACGAATCCAAGCGTGCCGTCCACAGGATCTAATATCCAGTGCCTCCCAACCGCGCCGCCTTCTGACGAACCGCGATTAATCAAATCCAGCACCTCTGGTGCCTCTAGCGGGCGCTCCGGCGGCTCAATACCGACCAGACGCGCCTCGGCAAGGCACTCGTTGACTACGCTGACGAGCCGCGCGAGAATCGCGCTTCCCGCGTCGTTCGTCAGCTGCTTCGTGTCTTCCTCCGCAATCATAGATACCACCTCCCCCGGATAAGCCTGCTTCAGGACCCAGCTGACAACCGCCTGAACGCCCCAGTCCGCTACAGTAACGTAGGACTTGTCCGGCTTCGACCGCGTTACATCTTCCGCCTCGCGCCGCAGCTGCGCCTGAACCTTCTTCGTGAGACGACACGAGAGTTGAACCGCCCGTTCGGCAACCGACAGATCGTAAGTCCCATCCGCCGCTACCGCCGGATCGGGCAGCTTCGACGACGCGCCGCGAAGTGCGGCGGCTCGTTCGTCAATCGACGGTTGTCGAGGCGCCTCGTCACGCAGTTCGATGTGCCGCGACGCGGCGGTTTCGAAAGCGTCCAGAAAATCCGCGTCCTCAAACGGGAAGTAGGGCGACTGGAGATTCGGAAACGCGATAGTGGGCGAGGAGGAGGAGGAGGAGGGGGGGGATGAGGTGGTTCGATTCGGTGTCGTCGTTCGTAACGTAGCGCTGCGGCTCCCTGTCGCGACAGCTCCCGCCGTTACGTTTGGCTTACCACCGGTCGCGGTACTTGCCGCGGCAGTAGGCGCTGCCGGGGAAGATGAAGAAGCGGCGCCGGTAGATGCGCCGGTAGCTGCGCCGGCAGATTTGGCGGCCGGTGCGGCGGGAGTAGTCGGCTTGTGCAGCATTGTAATTCGGCCTCGCATGGTCGCGTGCTGTGTTGTTGCTTCGAGAAGAGGCTTTGGAACGGGGAAGGATGGGACTGAATGTGAATGGGACGCAGGTTGGAGTATCAAGGATGACAGAAACGTGGAGTGGGAAATCATATCCACGTCGCGGCGGGATGAGCAGAACGGCGTTTGAGGAATAGATGCCTTCCCGGAAAAACAGCCGCAATTCATGGCGTGAGACTTGGATGGTAATTCATGCGGTCTGCTACTGGGGAACGAACGAAGAGCCGATGCTGCTAGGTTGGCGCAGTTGATGCACGCGACTGGGTGGTGTAGGAGGTCCGCCATTGAATGTACTTATGTAGTGCGGCTTTAGAGATGGAGACGTCTTGAATTACAGCTTCGTCAAAAGAATTGAGAGGGGTCGCACTCGTCCCTCTATTCGTGAGGAAAAAAATAAATGGAGATTATAGGCTTGGGTTAGCGGTGGTAATTCGGGAGACGCTGGATGACAACTTGCCACTTCGAATGCAGAAGAAAAAAGGGAGAGAAGACGCGAGAGCCACAAGGTGTATTTTTCATAGCAAGCGTATTCGGAAGAATACGGCAGACTATTTCGATCAACAAGGCTGATCGAGACTCATTTGCGGAGCCAGAGAACGGCCCTGGACTTTGAGTTGAGACGTGCTATCTGCACATGGTGATGATCTGACTATTTTTTTTTTGGTTCCGAATAGAGTTCGTCACGAAGACCGAGGGGTTGTAAGCTCTGTGGCGGGCAATAATGGCGTCAACTGGAATAAACGATCTATTTTGAGAGTCCACGAAAGACTCCCAGCTACCAGTGAATGCAAGAATGAGATGGGAATGAAGGGGTTCTCTTGCTTGTAGTATAGGGGAGGAGCAGATGTGGAAAATTGCTGGGGAGGGTCGGGGGATGGGCTAGGTAGATAAGAAAGAAACGGCTGGGGAGGGTCGGGGGACTAGGGCTCGGGGCAGGGGGGGATTGATGATCTGGTGGGAGAGTTGTGTGAGTGAAGGGAGTGTTCTTGTACTAGATTTACAGAAGAAACTGTACGCGACCCGCAGGTAGATCCCTATGGGGATGTCATGTCATGTCACACGCGACCAGAATCCATACTCGCTGCCTCCGTTCGGTGCCGTGCGGCTGGTGGGTGCGCGGAAAGCCTTCGCGTTCATTTCACACGCATCCCGTTCGGTTTCAATTTGTCCGCTCTGTTCAACCAATGTCAAGGCGCACACATATCTCACGGGTCTGGCTGATCAGATCAGACGATCAGCTTCCCCTCACCTCTCTGTGAACTGTACACGAAGGCGTGAGCCCAAAAGAACCCGTTGAGCAAATGGGCACAGGCGTACAGTTCGCAGCACAACTTCACATGCGGGAAGCCCGCATCCATTTGGCGCCGCCGCCAACCTCTTGCTTTCACTTTCCAGCGTGTGCTGGAAAGCTGGCGTGTGAGGAAGAGACATGTGGCACACGGAAGCCGAGCACAAGATTCCCTCGAGCACGGTGTGGTGCGGAAGCATTTGGATAGGGTTGTCGTTTCCCTCCAAGCGTACTCACCCTTCTCACAATTGAAATAAAAGTTCCGAACGTATATAATGTCCTCAGCGATATTCACGCCCTGCATGTCACATACTATATTTTGAACCACATTACTTATTGTAAAATAGAAAACAGGAAATTGGCGCTCGTGGATCTCTGCACAAACGTGTGGTTGTTAGGTAGTTGGTTCAAACGCAGTCGACGACTTCATCCGCCGTAAAGGGAAAATATCATATTGGGGCCGAACAGTGCCAGAAGGGTGATCAAAGTAGGGCCGGAAAATCTCGACCGTAGGATTTCAACCCGGAGCTGACCAAACGACTCGGCAAACAAGCCGAACCATAAGTAAAAGATAATTGTTGAAAGAAACCTATTTTTGTGTTCGTATTGTTTATTGAGGGTTTTGACCGCCGCCTACTACAGCGCGCGCGTCGCCTTCTTCTGGAATTGAATTCGGCGTCTCAAATCGTGATTACGTAACAACATAATATATTTTGGGTGATGCATACCACCTACCTACCCAATCGGAAACCACAGAAAAAAATAAAATATTACCCATTCGGAAACGGATGCGACTCGGGAGGGATCAACCCTAAATACCAGGAAGGCCCATTTTTAAGGGTTTATCCATCCTGAAATTGCATCCAGGTTCCCAATGAGTTTTAGTTTTTTTTTGCTGCCCTAGAGTTCCCGGTAGAGTCGGCTCGCTAAACGACACGCGAGCGAAAATGCGAGCCAGTACATGCCACTAGTAACATAATTACGTGCAATAAATGAAGACTCTCTGTTAATTCCTCCTTGCGAAGCGGTTTGGTAATTTCCGGGCCTCTCGGCCCCTGGTTGATCACCCCTCTGGCACTGTTCGGCCCCTGTATGATCTTCTCCCCGCCGTAAACGTTCAACTCCCCATTTTGCTTCGTCCGCCGCAAATCTGCGGTAGCGTGGCACATATGATCTCCAAAGGTGCTGGCGGGGCTCATGGAATTATCGATCGACACGTGTTCTCCAACCTGTCCGGAAAAGCTCGTCGGCGATATCTCAACTTCCAGCCATGTCCCTGCTGTGAACCAGCACCTTCGTCATTGGTTGGCCAAATACCTGTCTCGGTTCAAGCCGCGAGGAAATACACTTAATACCCGTTAGACTTTCACAACTTTTCTAGTCGTTTAGGTGTTTAGTGAGCAACATTATTTCGCCTGCTTGTCGAAATTCGCCACGGGCAAAATCGGGACTGTAGAGGGCAGGTAAAGAAATGTAACCAGCTTCTTCAAAATATCTCACGAACGGACGGATGCAAGCGTGATAAGCTGTTTGTTCAACGGCTGCGATCAAAATAAGGCCTTGTATCGTGCGTGCAACTGGCTGTTACTACTTGCAATCGGGCAAGCTGTCGAGCTTAGCCAGACCAAATTCGCGTGCAATCGTTGGGCATCGTGTGTAATCGTCCTTGTGGGTCACAGTCAATCACTCTGTGCATTACAACTGACAGACACCTCACGTCCAAGCAAAACGCGAGGGAGAATCCGTGCTACACCAAGTAAAAAATGTTTCCATAAATAAATTATTTACCATAGTCCACATTGCATACATAAATCCTTGCCTCCCTTACAGCGGCCACAAGCACACTAACCCCCATGGACCACCCGCCCCAAGCTACATGAAACGCGGATAAAACAAATGCCAGAAGCAAGCGTTAACAGATGCCACGGCAGGTTACACATCCTTGGCAGATGCGCGGAACGAGCGGCACGACTTGACAGCCTCGTTGGCAGTGAGGAAGAGCCACTCCTCGCCCATAGCCTCCAGCACGCCAGAGACAGCAAGCTTGCGGAGAACCATCTTGGAGGGGTTGCTGATGCCGAGCTGAATGTTGTTCTTGGAGAGCAGCGAGTGCAGCTCCTCCAGTGCAGTGGTGCCAGAAGAGTCAATGTCCGGCACAGGGGTAAAGTCCAGGATGAAGTGCTGGTGTTGGGGGGGGGGGGGGGGGGGGGGGAGGAATTAGAACAAAGAAGCAACCGTTCTCAGCATAAAGAAACAGTTTCAGAAGTGCCTCCAGAGCAGTGGTGCCCGATGAGTCAATGTCAGGCACGGGGGTGAAGTCCAGAATGAAGTGCTGGTGGGGGGGAAAGGAGGTGTGTAATAAATAAAAGGCAATTGGAATCTCTAAGTTTTCAGGAAAGCCCTCCAGAGAAGCAAAGTGCAGATCCTCCAGTGCGAATCAAAATCAGCACTCGGAAGCTGGCTTCAAGAAGCTAAACCAGAGCTGTAATGAAGCCCAGGATAGAGTGCTTGTGGGGAGGATAGCGAGGAGTTTAGGTACAAGGTATGTAACAGCAGTGGCAACTTACAGTGATCTTGACATCGCGGTTGAAGTCATGCTCGTCGATCAGACTCAGCGACTTCTCCCGGATGTAATTCGCATTCGGGAAGTACACCGGGCCGTCCACGCGCAGCACGTACACCCCCTCCTCAACAATAGCACCGTCGTACTGCTTGATGTTGCGGTACACCCCGGTACCTGGTACAAGACCGAGCACAGAGAGTGGCGGCCTGGTAACCTGAATGACGACCTTGAAGGTCCCCATAACCACACCGACCAGGAGACCGGTTTCCACTGAGTCGAAGAGGATGCCGAGGAAGGTTCCGAGAAGGATCAAGAAGTCAAGCTTGTCAGTCTTGAAGATCTTGATTGCTCCAGGAATGTCAATCTGCGAAGAGAAGGAACAAAACGGCTAAATCAGCACAAGGAGCCATGATTGGTGGCGGGAAAACAAACAGTGTCCCACGTGCAAATGCGTGAATGGCTAAATCGGCACAAGGAGCCATGAGCCATGCATGCAACAAGGCTTACCAGTCCCAGCACAGCCACAATAATGATGGCAGAAAGCACCGCCTGTGAAAACACAAAAGAAAACATAGTGCACGTAAGGAGCAGGAGAGTATTAGCAGGTGAAAGCAACAAATAAGAAAGCTGTGGTTATGATAAGCATGGGATTCACCATTCAGACATGGAGGTCAGGAGAATGGCGAGCTACTTACGCTTGGAAGGTACTAAAAGACAATGACAGGAGATGATTAAGAGCAGCGTGAGCGTGGTGAGCGGATTCGAACCGACTCGGATTTCTACTCACGCTTGGGAGGTACTGGAAGACAGGAGTGATCCAGAGCAGCGTGACGAGCACGACAAGAGACATGACAATGTTGGTGAGCATGGTGGAACCACCGGCGTTGTAGTTGACAGCCGATCGCGAGAAGGAACCTGGGGAATGCAAGAGAAAGGGAGAGAGGATGGGCGAGGACGAGAGCCATTGGATGTCGACAGCACAGACGAAGAACCGACGAATGCGAAAGATTAAAAAGAAAAGAACGGGATAAAGAGAGAAAAACACAACGGGACCATACCAGTGGTGACGTAGCTGGAGGAGAAGGAGCCGACTATGTTCATCGCGCCAAGAGCAATCATCTGAATTGTCACAAGAACATCCACAAACACGGAAACACAGAATTTGGCAAAATGGGTGAAAATGCTGATATCATGATGTCCAAAACGGAGGCAAAATCTTGATACCATCACCATACGAAAGTGAATATTTTGACCATCAGAACAGGCAACGGTACGAAATTGGAGGCGGTTGTTCTCTGCTCAAGCACGTGCCTCCATTACACGCATATTGTTTACAACCCAGACGGCACCATACCTCTTTGTTGCCATCGACATGATATCCCTCCAGCGACGCGAAGGTACGCGCGATGGCGGACGCTTCCTGCAATGGAACGGCCGACAGGATACATTTGAAGGAATTCACTTTAAGGTCCAGACAATACACGGGCGCGTGATGTGAAATTGAACGACGGAAATTTTTATGTGCATGCTCGAGCCGCACCCGCGCACTTCCAGCAACTCCAGCAACATGATGCGATCATGAACATGAAGCCGATCAAATAGGGATTTAGGGTTACAGCTAAACGAAACGGCTTACAGTGAGAGCGACGAGTCCCAAGACCAGCCCCACGATCGCGGCATCCGCGGCGTCTTGCCCTGTGAGCTGCAGGCGCTTGAGCGAGCCGAGACTGGCGAGTCCCTTAGGGTTCCTTGAGAGCAGAAGAGACTCACCGTGAGAGCGACGAGTCCGGAGATGAGCCCCACAACCGCAGCATCCGCGGCGTCTTGCCCCGTGAGCTGCAGGCGCTTGAGCGATCCGAGACTGGCGAGTCCCTTGGGCATTTCCTTGACGCACGGGATGGCCTTGTTGGCCTTGGCGCCCCACACGGAGAGCGTCACGACGACGACAGCGATGAACGGGCCCAGGCAGTTGAGGTAGAAGAACACGGTTCCGAGCGGCTTCTTCTTGGCGAAGTACCAGGCCTGGCGGTGATCGGGATACGGAGGAGCAGGGAGGGAAGGGAGAAGTCAGTGGAGAGGCGGAGAGAGATGAACGGGCCCAGGCAGATGGGGTAGAAGAATACTTTTCCGAGCGGCTTCTTCTTGGCGAAGTACCAGGCATGAAAGGAAAGGAGAAACGGGGAATCGGGAAGACGGGGAGATTGGGGCAGGTACGTGGGGAACAGGGAAGACGAAGGAATGGGAGAGCAAGAGGGATGAGAGGAACGGGCCTCGAAAACTGGGGGATGAGGTAGAAGAAGCTCGAGACGGTTAATAATGGGTAGAATCTTAAGAAGAAGGATAAAGGATAGTCGAGCTGCAAGCGCGGAGCGGCAAGACGCACGAGCGACAGTGAAGGGACAAAGCGAGCGAGAGGAAAGCGAGAGAGTGAGCGAGCTTACGAGGAAACGAAGGGTGACGAGGAAGATGAGCACGCTGATGCCGACGAGGAACGCCTTCCAGTTGAACTGCGCATGGAACGGGGAAGATAGAGATATTTTAGATACGATTTCCGAGAACGAGTGCAAAGAGATGAAGAGTTGAGGAACAGTAACGGATGAGAAGTAGAAGGGGACTAACCTGGTTGGTGTTCTTGAAAACGTACGAAAGCACACTGACGATATCCGTGTCCTGGGTGAATTTCGAGTAGCCCAGTAACCCCTTTAGCTGCTGCAGCGCGATCGTGATCGCGGCTCCGGACATGAACCCAACAATCGCGGCGTGGCTCAGAAATTCGATGATGAATCCGAGTCGGAATATGCCCATCGCGAGCTGGTAAATCCCGGCGAAAAACGTCGCCGTGATCGCGAGGTTGAGATATTGGTTCGCCTGGTTAACCGGGTCATAGTAGTCGACGAGCAATTCGCCGAGCAGCAGCGAAACGACGGCGACGGGGCCGATGGCGATGTGGCGAGAAGTACCGAGCACGGAGTACACGAGCGGCGGCAGGAAACTACTATCTGTTGGGGTTCGTGGGAGGGGAATAGTAAATTAACGGGAAAGAGAGAGGGTAAGGCCGTTTCCAGGATCCAGGAAGCGCGAGTTGGTTGAAGCCTGCGCAAGCAAAGCTCGGGACGCAGTAAGACGAGTAGACTTCTCGTGCAGGAAAGACGAGCGGACTGAAAGAAGGTTTGGCGGAATAGAGCGAACAGCTCGCGACAGCCATAGGTGAAACACATCACGGCACGCGTTGAACGCGAGGAGATTAAATGAACCGCCGGGATTCTGACACACGCGGAGACTTGAGCTAATAGGTAGACCTATTTGCGGGAAAAGACGCTATGGACTCGCACGTGCAGCGTCGTAACGACTTACAGAGGCCATTGATAGGAGGGAGATTGGCAAGTCCCGCATAGCCCAGATCCTGAACGGAGAAAGAGCACAAGCAGAGAGCATAAGCAGAGCAGAAAAAGACCCAGTAAGCATTAAAGCAACGGAAGAAGAGGCCGAGGATTTCAGTGGCGACAGGAGGAATACAATCGAGATTTATAACGAGGGTCACCTGAGGACCGACATTTATAACGAGGGTCACCTGAGGAACGGCGAGACTGGCGATGGTCAGACCGGCGACGACATCGCCGAAGAACTGCGCCTTGAAGTTATACTTGGAGACCCACTCGAGGATCGGGAAGAGGTAGAACAGAGCCAACTTGGCGCGCTCGCCCGCGCTCTTGCCGCGGTAATCCCGGAAAGGGTCCTCTTCGATGACCAGCAGCTGTCGAAAGGGCTGCGCCGTCTCAATCACCTCGTCTTTGAGCGAGATAACCGGCACGTTCACTTTATACTCGTGTTCCACATCCGCACCCATGACGGCGAGTTTACTGCGCGCGCGGCGCGGCGGCGAAACGGCTGCGGATGCGGTGAACGGCGGATGCCGGACTCCGGCAGGGGGAAGGAAGGACCGTCGGGGCTACGCGACTGGGAGAGACGCCGTGATAAAGAGTTCCAACGGATTCTCAGCTAGTACTAGGGCAAGAGTCTGCCTCGACGGTGTCCTTCCAGAGACCCCTTTCCCGACGAAGAGCAATCAAAATCTTGACTCCCGATTCCCGGATGGGTCAGAGAGACGAGGTGGCCAGAGGGAAATGGCTAGGGTTACAGAACACCCTGCTGAGACACGGGAGGGAACAAAGCCTCGAGTCGAGACACCCGATGGCTTGTACCAACGAGGGTTTGAAGTGGAAGCTTTATGGGGAAGGCGAGCAGAAGATATGGTTTACGAAAACTACCGTGCTGCGTCATCCCGTCGACGAGACCCGCCACGAGCGCGCTTGCTCGTGCGCGCGTCCCGTCGAACCACTCCCCTTCCCGCTCAACCAATCCCCATCCGTCCGTGCTTTCCTCTCTCCCAGTCGGCGATTTCACCCATTCGCCTTTCCGTCAACCATCCCCCATCGCTCCCTCCAATCCGCACGACGCCGCTTGACGTTGATCCGCCGCAAAAGATGTGAAGATGTGTCAAGATTCAGCTCATCTGCAACAGAGGGACTGTTTATCAATCTAGGGTATTGGTAAATGGATGGATGTGAGCAACTCGATGAGCGTTCAGCGTTTCAGCTGGGGAGTGGCCCGATTCAGAGAATAATGGCTACGGCTGTTCAAAGTTGCGGCTTGCGAGGAGGACCCTTCGCCATCATGGGATCGCCTGATGTGGAGGAGAGCATTGCCATACCGACATCAATTTGCATCAGTCGAGTCGGGTCGGGGATTTCAGCAATGGCAGGTTAGCTGCTTGTGTGGATGGAGCACAAGCACAGGCTTGCTGTGTTCCGGGTTAGGTTGGTCGAATTTGTTTCTTCTAGGTCTAAATTCGGGCAACGGACAAGAACGGCTAATGTGCTGCCTCCCGCTGCAAGAAGTTTCAAGATCGTCTTGTATCCAATCAAGCTCGGTTGCAATGCTTGCTACCCAATGAGCGGCTAGACGGGCATCGGACAAATGGTTTCATAGAGGCAAATGTACAGTTCAGGCGCTCGAAACTCCCGAGTCGGGAATGGCAGCAATCAGAGGCCAATCCAACTCAACAGCAAAGCATGGCGAACGGGAAGGAGAAAAGGCTGGGAGTTCGATTCAGCGCATCTAGATTCAAACACAAGTTTCATGTGCTGGGCGGTTCGACCAGGTGCAACCTTTTCCAATACACTGCACTCCAGCACAGCATTTCAAACAGACGACTGACGTCCTTCGAGCGTGTCAGAGCTGCCTGGGAGATGGGCTGGCAGCGGTCTGCCATGACGGCAGATTCGACTTACAAAGCTTCGTTAAGGAAGAAACCCGGCTGTTACAGTATCAAGAAAGAGAGACAAGAGAACCTCTTATCTGCCCTTGAACCGAACATTTTTCTTGTTTTGCCATCCATTGTGATCATCATTCTCAACGTGTAGAGTCCTTAAAGCCGGCGGCCCAAATTGTTCATGCTTTTAAAAGTTGACCAGAGGGAGTTTTTCTGGTGTGGGCTTTGGCGAGAGTTTCCGATTTCGTCTAGGTTCGTTTTTTTCGCGAGACCCAGCCAACCCTCGGTTTTCCCCCTGGTGAGTGAATCTGTCTTCGAAAGTCCCAAATTGCAAGTGCGTGACTTTCAAAAGCTTGGACACTCAACTTCGTCAAGTTTTAAAAACTTGACCCTCGCGGCCCGCAATTTGGGACGCGGGCTTTAACAAGTGCATCATTTGATATCATTGAGATCAGTGAGCGCTTAATCATTCAAACCGGTGAGCGGCTTTGCACATTCAGATCTGGCCTCTACTGAGAGGTCACTCATTCGGATTGTTAAGGCGCGTAACCATATTGTTTTTTCTTGAAGTTACGTTTAGAAACGAACTTTCGATAAATGGACGGTTCCGTTTCCGATATGGAACCGTCCGTTTATCGAAACAGAACTCGAATATTCGAACCGTCGAGTTGACCTTTTTCAAGTTTTGAATACTCGCGAAATTGAGAAATGGTACGCAATCAGGCGACATTCGTAATTTTCGTAGAGCTAGTTTGGCGGCTTGGATTCAACGTTCGAAACACAATCTACAGCCAGTTTGGCAGCGATGATGTTAGAGTAAGGATATTGGATAGGAGAGGAATGCCTTAGAAGAGTTTGGTAGTGGAAGTCTATGTTGTAAGAACTCTTATCATAGTTAATGTAGATGACAAAGTTGTTTCAAACATTAAATTGCACACAATAAATACATATAGCTATCCATGTACTCGGAGGGATACATTCATTTGTTCTAACTGCTTTACATGCAATTCTAAAGTGGCTCTGACTATTGCACTTCTTCTTATTACCGAGTCGCTGCGTGCGACCGTATGCACGATTACACATGTTGCCATTCCTCGATGGTAAGTCAATCGTCGGTCCAGATGGTCAACAGTCGCGACAATTGACTCTTGCGACTGTTGACCTTCCTGCCCTTGATACGGGCTGATCCGATACTATTGCTAGTGCTGCTTCGATAGTGACGGGTGCGATATTGCTGTACCTACTGGAATGCTAAGTATAATTCCCTTCATACTCCAACACGCCCCTTCATTCCTGGAGGTGCACAACGTGGCTCTTTTGGACGACCCCACACAGGTCCGAGCAGTATTGGAACTTCTGACGTGGCAGTTTCTTCGTCAGAAAATCAGCTGCCATTTCGCCAGTCGGGCAGTAGGTGAGCTGGACCTTCCCTTTGCCGATTTCGTCATTGACAAAGAAGTAACGCAGGGCGATGTGTTTCGTGCGGTTGACGAAGCCAGGCTTGTTTGCGATTTTGATCGCGCTCTGGTTGTCGCAGAGTAACTTGAAGGACCCGTTCATTGCCGTCTTTGTTTCTTGTAGGAGCTCCGTGAGGTAGAGTCCTTCGCGAACTACTGCACTTGCTGCGATGAATTCTGCCTCTGCAGACGAAAGGGTGATGAGCTCCTGCTTCTGTAGAGGCGATGGTCGGCCGGGGAGGGCGGGGTAGTACCGGGCTCGTGATTAGGCGGTGGAGTGCGAAACGGGGTGGCGATGCCGACGGGAGCGATGCCGAACCTTTTAGCAAGGGTCTCAGCGTATTTCGCGGTGGAAAGGTGGATCGTGTCGGCGGTCTGAGTGACGTTGAGGCCAAGGAATTTGGTGACATCGTGATCGATGGTCACTTCGAGCTTCTCCTTAATGTAATGTTCAAAGCGATCGAGCAGCTCCGTGTTGTCCCCGGTGTAAAGTAGGTCGTCCACATAGGCGACGAGCAGGATGAAGCTGACGCGGGACTCGAGGCCGTACATCGCCCGATCGTGGGGAAGCTGCTGGAAGCGAGCTTGATAAGCACGGTGTGGAGGTACTGCTGCCACAGGCGTGGTGCCTGCTTGATGCCGTACAGGGACTTCTGCAGAAGGCAGATTGCGTCGCCGTCTTCCTCAAAGGCGTGTGGCTGCTCAACATAGATAATGGCGTCGACGATCGCGTAGAGGAAGGCGTTGGAAACGTCGATTTCGCGGAGGGGGCGTTGCTTCACGGCAGCGAGGCAGAGGAGAATTCGCACAGAGGTATGTCGGCCGACAGGTGCGAATGTCTGATTGTAGTCCACGAACTGAGTCTGCTCGAATCTGCGGACAACCCAATGTGCCTTATATTTGTCAACAATCCCATCCGCGAGAGTCTTGGTTCTGAAAACCCACTTCCCTATGAGAATTTTTCTCCCCTTGGCGTGTCGTCGCAGTACCAGCTTCCAGGTGCCGCGCCGCTTTAGTGCGGCGACTTCTGCGGCCATGGCGGCTCTCCAATTCTCAGCATCGGGCCCGCTGAGGGCCTGGCGAACGGTGGTGGGCTCGACCAGCTGCTGGTTACCCCAAATGGTGACGACGAGCCCAAGGATGCGAAGGCATGTGAGGTTGGATTCAGCTGCGTTGGTAACTTCAACCATGCCGTCGTCGTCGTCAGGGATGTCGCGAACGGTGTCGCGAGAAGAATTGTGAGCTGGGTCTTCGTCCATGGGTGGGTGCAAATCTACACTTGCGTAATCGTGCTATGCCTGTACTGCTTCATGTTGATCAGTTTCTGTTGGAAAGAATGTAGGTGTGCCGGACTCCTCCGTACGAAGGGTGCCTCATCCTCTGTTGCCTCGTCTGACTGTTCGACTGCCACGTCGACGTCGTCCTCGTCATTGGCGTAGCTGTGCTGTCCCTTAAAAATGTTGTCCGGTGCGTTATGTGCAGTGCGGTGATGTAGAAGATGCAGTCACGTGAACGCGTGAGCTGGTGGGTGGCGAAGTCCAGGATTGTCCAGGCGTGGTATTCAGATTCGATTCCGAGGTGAATGCCCCACCGGGCACAGTTTTCATTTTTTCCGGTCCGAGCAATGTGGGGGCGGTACTGCACCATGCACCCAAAGCCCCGCAGCATGCGTGTGTCATGGTGTTTTCCGGTCCACTCCTTGAAAGGTGAGGTGTTGTTGGGCAGTGCTTTCGAAGAAAGCATGTTGTGCAGCCGAACTGCATGCGCCATCGCGAAGGGCCAAAATTTTGTTGGCGAGCGTAGGGGAGGGAAATCATCCTCTTGATTCCCTTCTACTTGCAGAGGGGTTTTGAACTCCACCGTCTGGTACTCCAGGGCTTCATCTGTCTGAAATGCCTTCAGCTTCTGTCCTTTTCTCTTAGTCTCCGCCATGCTCAGCCAGACTCTAAAACACTGGTAGGCAAGGTAGCGGTTGCTGGCGTTTACGGCCCACACGAATTGTGTGCCGGCGTCGATGAAGGTAAGTGTGTACTGCTCCCCTCCAACTCCATTCGTCGTGCCGGCGTCGATGAAGGAAATCGTTGCAGACTTTCTCTAGCGGCTTGTAGCGTTTGGCTC